ACAAATCTAACAGGGTAATTAGTGAGACTGTTAATAAATGTGAAAAGGGTTTTTCATTAGTTCAGCTAATTCTGTGAATGATGGGAAATTATCTTTATAAGCCGTGTAGTGATTGAGGTAACCTTTCTTATTTCTGTTTTTTGTAAATGAATCATCCTGAAGAAGAACACTAAATGGTAAATAATGAAACAGAGAACATTGCCTGATGGAATTAGAATGCATTGATTTGAGATGTGTTAAATTAATCAGAATGCTCTACTTGGTTCTTGGTTCTGTCTGAAGCACGTAAAATTCTATATAACAAACCTGAATCTGATTAGCGTGACACAAGCAGTTGGATGTTTGATGTCCTCCCTTGACTCAAATGCAGTGTACTGTATATTTGCATGCATTCTTCTCTTTGTGATATGTTCCCTTCAGAATCTACAAGCTCTGATTGTAAAGGATACCTTAAAAAAACAGGCATGCAATGAATTTCAGTGTGACAGCCGATGAGGGTTAGTATCTGTAAGTGAGAGCATATTGGTGTCAGAATCACTTTGTTTGTGTGACTGTGTCCATGTCAGTTTCTCCTGTCTGTCAGTGTTTCAGCATGCCTGTGTCAGTGGCCATGTTAGCGCTCATGTTTGTGAGTCACGGTGAATGTGTCAGAATTTGAGTGCATGAGTGTCGGTCACATATCAGTACTATGTATCAATATTAATGTGCAACAAAGTGTAACTTTTCCACTGCCACCCTGTGAGAGTGTTGGAATTTCCAATGCCTGCCAGCGTGCCACTGTGAATCTGTCACATTACTGTGCCAGTGCTGTCAGCGTGGGGTGTGTGCTGTTATGCGGTTGTTGTGCAGTGGGTCTTGCTTTAACATGCAGTCAGCATGTAAGTGTGAATTGATCATAGCCAGCGTCTCTTTGTGTGTGTGCGTATTTGATTCTGTGTGTCATGGTGTCACTCTATCACTGTAAATGTGTTAGGAGTGGAGGTATAAGGATGCTGCTGACCTTGTGCCAGTTTGTCAAAGTCACTGTCAGCATGCCAGTGTACCTGTGCCAGTTTGTCAGTCTCAGGGTGCTATTTGTGAGTATCAATGTGTTAGGTGGTCAGTATCAGCTTTTCATTGTCATTGTGTCAATGTATGGATGTCAAATGCAGAGTCTGTCAGAATGTAAATGTGTCAGAGATGCAGTGCCTTCAGTGTCTGTGTCAATGAGTGAGTGGTAATGTGTAAGTTATCCTCTGTGTCAGCAGAGAGTCTGTGAGACAAAGGTAGAAATAGGTACTGGTTCTTTGGAACTTGACCTATCTTGTGCAAATGCTACTTGTCGAAGTGTATGCTGTTGATCGTCTTCTTTATACTCCAGTTAAAGATTAGGAACAGTGCACCTTTCCTGAGCTCAAAGCAGGCAGTCAAGTAATTGGTTAATCAGTCCAGTGAACTGAACTCTAACAGGACCTGACAAGTTCATCTCAGTCCTAAACTGCTCTGCAGAAGGCTGCTCTGTCCTCACTGTCAGAGGGCTCACAAACACAAATGCCTGCACTGCACCATTGCCCAGCCCTGACCTGACTCCACACAAAGTTTTTCCACACACCAACACAGCACATCCTTGCCTTGGAGGAGACATTGAATAGCTGTGTCTGTTTCAAGTGCAATTAAAATCTTCAGAAAGATATTTTTAAAATGGCAAAAAGTACCATTTTAAGATGCTTGTTTCCCCTTTTTTTGGAAATAAACATACAATAGCTTGAGAAAACAGCCAGATTTTGTCCTGGAAATGGACAGTCCTACAGGTCTCTCAGCCATCACGGTGAGTGAATGAAAGGGAGAGAAGAGAGAACGTAGAGGATGAATTCAAGTGATCTGATGAAGGTTTTAGAGTCTGTGTTTCCTTTCCTTCTTAAAGACCTGTCTGTCTTTCTCCTCATGACGTTGTCTGAGAGTCAGAGTGTGGAGTGTAAGGGGGTATGTGCCAAGGGGGCTGAGAAAGCAAGAGTCATAAACTGAAAACTAAAATGACAGAAAGAGATAATGTGAGGGAAAAAAACATTTATGTGACAAGGTTATTTAGACACAAGTGTCATGTTGGTGCCATGGTTAAGATTACTGCCTCGCAGTGCCGAGTCCCTGGGTTCAATTCCCAACCTGGGATGTTAAGTGTGTGGAGTTTGTATGCTCCACCTGTGTTCACATGGGTTTCCTTCGGGTGCTCCAGTTTCCTCCCACAGTTCAAAGACATACTGGTAAGTTAATTGGTTTGAGGGAAAACTGGCTCTAGGTGTGAGTGTATTCATGTCTGTGTTTCTGTGTGGATGGACGCCCCATCCAGGGTGTACCTGTACCCTGCCTTGTGCTCATTGCTTGCCAGGAAAGTCTGCAACTTCCCCCCAACCCTGAATTGGAAAAAGCAGCTAGAAAACTGATGAATGGATGGGTGATGATTAAGACACTACTGCCTCTGATAATAGATCACAGACAGTAATAGCCATGTAATAGACTGCTAAACACAGACCTATCAAAGGAAATCACTCCATCAGGCATAGAAAAGAGCAAAATGCAGTTATAATAGAGGCAGTTTAGTGAAGCGCTGTCCTTTTGAACGTGTTAAAAGTAAAAGCACAGCCACATGAGAAGATGCAACAGAGTTTTCCAACCCTGCACTTTACTTGGGTTGACCTTGATATCAACCTCTAGGATGAGTGCTAAAAAAAACGTGTTCTTGCTCTGTGACTTTGGCATCATTGATGTCATTGACATATTGGCAGAGGCACTGAGGTTTATAGAAGCAGTTCAGGATCTGAGCCATCCGCTCATTAAAAATGTTGGTTGAGTTTTGGACATCCTGTGACGTCCCATGCGTACCAGCAATCACTGCAAGTGAAGACGAATTTCTACTGGTAGTAAGCAGAATACCGGGAGCCAGGGGAATAACCAGATGCTGTTAGAAATGTCCGGGACAGAAAACAACCTTTACATCAGCAGGATTCTAGGACAGCAAGGCAGGAGTGTCTCTCACTACATGTGCACAATCTAGTGTCACCGCATGGAAGTATTTTGTCCATCATGGCCTTCTGCCAGGAGCTGTCCTGCCTGGCAGGAGACATATTCAGTGATGTTCACCATCTGATCACATCTTGCTTTAAGAGAGAATCTGGTACTGCAGAAACTGAGTCTGCATTGTGCTGAATCTTGTGCTGCAGAAATTGAATTTCAAGAATAATATCCTTTTTTCCATAGCCATGAGATGGATCCTTTAACTTCTTCCTTTGTATCAGCTTTATTGTAAGCTTTTTCCTTTCTTGTTTCTTTCTTCAAACTATGAAGTGAGTGCCATGCTCACTCAGAGTCAATTGATAATACATACTGTACTGCACACACTATAAGAGGACAGTAGGTTCAGTCTAGATGGAGATCCTTGTCAAAGGATGTGTCACATTGCTACATGTGAATTCCTGTATGGGTGTACAAATGGGTGCTCCCCTGCTCATCATTAAAATAAGAGTTTGTTTTCAATTGACATATCTGGTTAAATAAAAATGTTTTAAAATGTCAAAGGTTAAGGGTTAGTCTGAAAAGGCCCTGTAACCTTCAACTTTCTCTTATTTCTTTTTCTGTTTTTTCTTTCTGGACATTTTAATAGAATTGCGAGAATCTTTTCTTCCCAACATCTACATCTACAGTACATCAGAGCCAGAACATAGTTTTGGGGGTACAGTGTAAGCCACATTGGAAGGGCCTTGTAATTAATTCATTATTATTGTAATTGTTATCGCAATGTGTCACATATTTAGGGGCTTGTGTACAACTGGTCACCTTTCTTTTTGGATTTTTAATGAAGGTAACATCCCCCAGTCTTGCCCAGCCATAGGTTTTGCCTATGAGTTCTGAAACAGTACCCAAATCACTTGCACCTTCCATGTCAAAATGGCAGAGGAGGGCATGGAGAGTGGGTGAACAGGCAGCTAAGAATACAGACTTTCACTGCCACTTAAGTGCAGATGAGTCTGTGAGTGAGTTGGATAACTAACTAAATTCTCAACATTAATATTAAAATTAATTGACAATAAATCATCACTAAGGGTCCTCCAAGGCAAAGGATGTGATGTGATCTATTCATGAAACAGATATTTTCATGCTGTCTGGACTTATATCCTCATTTTCTCTCCTGTTGGCTTCCTTGTCAGACAAGTGTGAAAAACTTGTCTCCGTACAGGAAGTGAAAGCCTCTGCATAGGAAGAGTGGAGGAAGAGGGGGAAGAAAGATGTTCCCAAGTTTTAGAATAACTTTTTAGTGGCTATACTGCATGTCTGAGGGGTTGCTCCTGTTTATTTCCCACTTTCCTTCAGGAAAAAACTAAATGTCTTTGCTTCTTTAATTTTTAACATTTTAATGGTGGCAATTGTCACTTGTGCATGCAAAAGGGCCCGGCCAGTCAAAACCCAGTCCAGCGGTAACCTTAGTGATGTGTTAGTTTGTTAGAAATTGAATAGGCTTTAGTTTTTAAGTAAAACTCTTAAGCCCTCATTGCTTTCCATGTGTGAAATACACATATACACATATTTCAAAGCAAATGGTACGTAAGTCACTTATAAAGAGTTGCATCGCATGGTTCTAAACATTTGCATGCTGTGAATGTTTAAAGTCATCAGACACTACTAAATGCCAATAAAACTGTTGTTGTTTTTTCTGAGTTTGTAGAAAACATAAAACATCCCCCCTCCCCCTGGCGAAGAACCTTAAAGATGATATTGAATATCTGTTGTCCTGCAAGTGAAAGAGTTTGATATCTATAGCAGGACTCCATCATTATGTGAAAAAAAAATCATAACATTTCTGTTATGCAATGGACTGCTGAAGGGCTATAATTTTTTGATTATTTTTTGCACTGGATTAAAACAAACTAGTGCAGACTTATAACAATCAAACCTGGAAATAATGAAAACATAGACTATCAAGAGCAGTGGCGGTGTCCTCAATATGATCAGTGTAATAGAAGATGTACTGTATGTAGGCAGCAGTCCTCTCTCTTGTTCCAGTCTTATTCAGTCTTCTTCTGCTGCACTGACTAGCTGATTTCTTCATTGCCTTGGATTCTAAACAAATGCCTCTACCAGGATTGCGCTGCTGCTCAATTGTAAAAGCAGCATTTCCAGATCTCAGTCCCACATCACGGAGGGCGTGGGAGATGTTTTTTTTTCTTCCTTTCCTCTTTCCTTTTTTTTTCTTCTTTTGAATCTGACACCAAGGTGGGTGGAAAGCACAGGAATGAAAAGCACAGATCCATCTCTCCCAGCATCGTATCTGTGGCTGCAGCTCATGAGTGGGCGTCTGCAGGCACTGGTCCCAGTTAGTGCTGGAAGCAAATCCTCGGTGTGGAGAGAGGCAGGGATCTCCTGGAGATAAGGCAGGAGGCAGGAAAAATGGAACACATGAATAAAACAAACCAAGACATGGTAAGCTATTTCATTTGGTATAGAAGCTCAGAATATTGTATATAATTATAGGAAATTTTAAACTGATACACAAATATTCACTGAACAGCAACTATTCCCAGTTTGATCTGGAGCCACAGAGGTTGTTCCAGGTCATGAAGTGAACATACAGTAGTAATCTTTTGGAGTTTTTAACTAACTTTGGAGAGGGAGAACAACAACCATGTTCTCCTTCACCTCTGCTCCTCAAAGTTGTAAACCTCAATGACATCATTTCCAAAAACATTTCATTATGATGTCATTTCCTGACTTCCTTGTCCTTAAACAAGGTGGCTGACCCAGCCAAAGGAGTTAAGCCAAAAATTCTTATGCAGTCATTTCACCATAAACATTCCGACTGCATTTTCTTATCCGTCGTTTTTTTATTCTTTATGAATCAGTGTTAAAGCTACCAGATTCCAAGCATGAATAAGCCAAACCATGCACTGTTTCTGATCATAATATATTTAGCTGAGAGAAATTTGTTCCCCAGCATAAAAGTTATAACTTTATTGGCTCTAAGACACAAATTAATACTCTAATAATTTAGAAATAATTAAGACATTGTTTAGAGAAACAAACCTGGTTAAGCTAGTAATTTGTTTCCTTAAGTTTAAAGAAATGGTTATGATCTTAGGAAGTTTAGTCAATAAACACTTACTGGCACTTAGGTCCTTAGTTCTTTGTTCCTGTTCCATTTTACTTTGATATTGGAATGACACGGTGTCTTTTTTTCTCTTAGAATGATATAGCTGTAGAATTTTGTTCTCTCTCTTTCTATTTTTTGCTCCTGAAACGTTATTCATTTACATTTAGGAAATGGAACAAGGTCATTCATGAGACACTGATGTAAGTCCAGAGTTGTAAAACTGGCATGAATAATTTTAAGTGTGTAAGAACACATAAATGCCCTATAGCATTACATATAGTAACGGGACACAATAAAGTCCACATTTCACTTATTTGTTTCAATGTGAATTAAGGTTGTTCTATAAAGTATCTCCCCGTGATACATATTGCAATAATAATAATAATAATAATAATAATAATAATAATAATAATAATAATAATAATAATAATTGCTTACACTTATATAGCACTTTTCACCTGCTTAGCTTAGCTTCAGTGGGTTGACAGTTGTGAGTTGCAAGGTGATATGGCTGCTGGCTGTAGTTTCTAAGGAATGAATGTTGCTCTTTATATTCATTTCCTGGGACTGATGGACTCACAAACTGTGGCTCCACTCCATGGAACACTCTTACCAGTTAACATTTGGGGATCACTCTGAGGTGGCCTGCCCTTAGGTACCCCACAGATGACATCTTAGGGCACATCCCTGGAGTTTAAGTACTTTCATTACCCAAAATAATGTGTCAGTTTTACAGTCAGATCCATGAGGGTCCAGTCCTGGTCCTAGAGGACCAGAATGTCTACAGGTTTGCATTCAAATGCAGTTCTTAACTAGCTAAAACAGTTAATTATTGTCTTAATTTAGACCAACTAAACATATCTGAAAGAAATTAGTCTTCTGGGGAGAGTCTGTGTTCTTTCCTCCTCCTGGTGTTGTCTGAGAGACAGAATGTGGAGTGTAAGGGGGTATGTGACAAAGGGCCTGAGAAAGTAAGAGGCATACATTGAAAATTAAAAGGACAGAAAGAGATAATGTGAGAAAAAAACATTTATGTGACAAGGCAATTAAGATATGAGGCCGCACGGTGGTGCATTGGTTGACATTGCTGTCTCACAGAGCTAGGGCCTGGGTTCAATTCCAGACCTGGGGTGCTGCAGTATGTGGAGTTAGTACTATTATACCTGTGTTTGCATGGTTTCCTCCCAATGCTCTGGTTACCTCCACAATCCAAAGCCATATCAGTACGTTAATTGGCTTCTGGGACAATTGGCCCTGGTGTGAGTGTGTATATTTGCCTGCGTGTGACCTGTGATGGACAGACATCCCATCTGGGGTGTATTCTGCCTTGTGCTCATTGCTTGCCTGGATAGGTTCCAGCTCACCTGCAACCCTGTACTGGATAAAGCAGTTAAAAATAGATGGATGAATATTCCAATAGGCATATACAGTATTTCCAATACAAATATAGGCCCTACCAATAAAGGTAGCTTCTCTATCAAAATATTAGTTGATTTTGTCTAGTACTTTAGCAATAAAATGTATTTTGGTTGGATAGCTTTAAATATTACATTTAAAAAAATGACTCAACCAGTCCTCCTGGAAAGTGGCTGTTGTTCTGGGAAAAGGTCACTGCAGCTGACACAGCACACAGTAGAGAAATGAAAAAAACATCAGGATGAAAGATAAAACATGGAATAAAATTGTTAGGTAGAAAGCCAAGTAGGGTTTGCCAGAGTTTCCGTTATTCATTTAGATATAAGGAAATCACATTTCTTGCGAGACACATTTTATTGTCATCAAAAGTCCCAATAGGGATCCCTCAACATGTGATGATTTGCCTGTATTTTTTTATGGAATGGAAAAAGAGTGTTTTATTTCTTCTTTATTTTATTTAATAACTGTTTTTAGCACAGATGCATATACCTTTGCTGCCACATCAAAAGAAAGAAGAAGGATTTCTTAAATGTTTTGGAATGATTTATCAGAATCTTTGTGATAAAGTTGAAACTGCTGTTGTTAGTTTATCACTGTGGTTCAATAATTGCTTTGCAGATGTATCAGTTTTTTTTTTGTATTTTGTAATACAAATACAGGTTGAAAAATGTATAGACAACATTGTTAAGCTTCCTGTAAAAACAGTGCCTTGTGTGGTCCTAAAGAAACACTTTTATGCTGTGCTGAGGATGCTGTAGGAGTATGGAATGTGTAATCATGCTCGCTGTGTAATGTCATATGTGAGGCAGCAGCTTCCTGGGGTGGACTTCCTGTTTCAGGACCAGGGGAAGAACTGTAGAAAACAGTTCACACACATGGAGGCATTTACCATGAGAAATAATAAAGGAGGTTCACATATGGAGATGATTTTGTAATTTCATGCAGTTTATTTCAGTATAAAAAGGTGTTTTTTTTTTGGCAATGCTAGAGACTTTGCACTAAGAATGCTGGGGCATCACCAATAGGTACAGATCAGTTAACAGGGTTTTAATCCACTAAGCACTCTGTAACTGTGTAATTAAGTTTCTTACCTCTTTTATATATCATATCATATATTAAAGGTGGATTGTATTGGTGCCCCACAGTGCTGGGTTCAGCCCCGGGAGCTGTCTGTATGTAGTTTGTATGTTCTCACTGTGTTCCAGTTTCCTCCCACAGGCCAAAGGTTAATTGGCTACTAGGAAAATTGGCCCCAATGTGAGTGTAAGCATGTTAGAGTTTGTTTGTACCCCCCAATGAACTGTCCTTTCTGGGGAGTGTGCAGGCTTGCATCTGTTGCTGGCTGGGATAGGCTCCGACTCTCCCATGGCCCTGAATTAGATGAAGCAATTAAAAAATGGATGAATGTATGGATGGATTGCATTATATAAACTTAAATTATACAGTGTATACACTTATATATGCTTATATATATATAAATCTCTTTGTATTTCTAATGATTGATTAAGCAATACTAGCCTCTCTGGTATTATGAAAGTGTAATAAAAGTAGAAAGAAATTGGAGCTCACAGGACTTTTTGCACTGCTCCTTACCTCCTGAGAATGCAATTACACAAATTGTGATAGTATGTGTTGTACTGTAAATAATGTACTGTAGCTTGTGAAATTGGACCCACAGAGGTTGTGTTTACATATGTGAAAGCCACACGGTTCTCCTGTCTCATGGGGCTGAACTGGAAGAAGTCCTGTCACTCCTTTCCAAGTGTGCTCTGGCTGACTTGACTGTCACTTCAAGGGGTAACGTACGAAAGGCTAAGCCGGACCCCTTGAGGGATGGAGAAACTGGGCCAGGGTGCTTGTCATGTTAGATGCCCCTTCTACTTAATTCATCACTTTACATCCTAACTTATTGCTCTGCTTCCATAATATAGTCTTACCTCAAGTGGGTAATTTTTTTTTCTTTCTGCCTAAGAAAAAAAGAACGAGCCTTTGGCTTTGTCTTTGTTTCCATTCCGCTTGAAGTGTCAATTCTATCATCTTAAATGACCGCTCCTGAGACAAAAAAAGGTACAAATGGGCTTTTTTTACCTACTTGAAGTCTAGTATAAAAGCAGTAGCCGAGACGGTATTTTCTCTAGCCATGGATGTTTTCATTATCACAGGTTGGATTTACAGACTATTTGCTCAACTATTATTAAAACAACAAATGTCAAGGAGTCCATATCTCTTTGGGAATTGAGCACTTTTAAAATATATCATTTCCATTCCACTTTTGTTTCTTACTGATCACCTTATTGCCACCCATTGTGATACATCTCTTTTTCACAGCCCACGATTGTCTCAGTTTACTTACATATCTGACATGCTAGGAGAATACATTGAGACAAATGTCTTCAGAAAGGACATTTCAACAGCCCTAGAAAGGAAATGAGAGGTGACACAAGGTTAGAAATCAGGGCTAAATTATTTTCCTTGACAATGACACAATAACAAGGCCCAGCACAGTGGCTAGGCAGTGCATTGGATGGGACATATCTGTGAAGAGGGCTTTTTAAAAAAAAAATGAAATGAGAATTGCTATCAAACATGGAAAAACAGCCAGTTTCATCTAAGATCTGTTTCATAGTTGTGTTATTCTGCAGTCACTGAATTGAGCTGGGATTCTGCTGAAAAGAACAGTAAGAGAATGTCATTGCACAGCACAGGCCCCATCCTCACCCCTGAAAACACAAAAAGGTCACAGGCACCAGAAAGGTATTTGCCTGGAGCAAATTATTCTGTGACTCTGTCATTCTCAGAAAATAAACTCTTCAGCTGTTAATATGGGAATATTCTCACAATTTAGAACAGCATTACGATATATTTCTGATGTTGTTAGAAATGTCTTCTCAAACTGAGGTTTTGTGGGGTGTGAGTGACACCATGTGGCCCTTTTTCAAAAAATCAGACAATGAATTCTCAGACATAAAGTAACTCATTTTTACTTTTTTAAACATAGATTGGCAAAATATTCAAATATTTAACCTATATTGCTATAAATCCACTTTGATCAAAGAATTCTAAATATACTGTACAACTTGCAAATTAACTTTCCAAAAGGGAAAACACAAGGAGTGTATAGCTTTACAGAAGGTCTTTCTATACACAACAAACAGATGCAAGGCAACACAAGGTACGGTTAAAACTAGTAATATACTGTATTAACAGGTTAACAAAACCAGTAAGAAACATTTTGTGACTCACAAACAAATACAAATAGAACAAATACAGTCCTACAGTTTAATTTTGCAAGAGAACTTTGTTTTATTTTGGAATAAAGTGATGACAAATGAAAAAAAAAACATTTAAAAAACAAATGAAAAAAATATTTTAACAGTTCTATTCTGTCGATGGAAACAAATACCCATGATCTGGCTTGGTAAAATGGAAAATACTGTGGCAGATTTGGATGCAAAGCAAGGACAAACATCAGACTATACAGTATAATACATTATTTTTATAACAAAGAGCACAAAAATTAATAAAGTGGTTGAAATTGCAAAAAGAAAGGTTAAGTATACAATAAGGCTGCCTAATTGCTGTCAATCTCTCATGTTCATTTTCCTCTCTCCTCTTTCCCCAAACCTTGTTCCTCTTTCAGATCATAAGATGCTTCATCATTTTCTAAGAGGGGCGTCAAAGCTCTGTCAGCTTCAATTCCATTGAAATGCAGAATCACCTTGTCTGTTCCTCTTCATATCTTCATTTGCAGCAATTATGGAAACACAACTTGTTCCAGATCACTGGCTCCTCTTCTCCGTTCAGATCGAACAATGTTTTTATTTTGCACGTCCCAAAGCAAAACAGATTTGAAATCCCTAGCCACATGGTTTCACTCCCACCCCCTTTTCAGGGGGTTTGCCTCAGAGTTAAGAAAACATTCCTCCTCATTCACATAAAAAAACATAGGCACTCCAAATCTAACTATTGTGAATTTCCTAAGACAACTCACCCATTGCAACCAATTCCCAGTTGGTTCTGTACATACAGTGTATTACCTGTAAAGGCGACACAGGGACACAGTGGTTAGCATTGCTGCCTCATGCTGGGGCCCTAGGTTCAATTATTAGGGTGCTATCTGCACAGAGTTTTCCTGGGTTTGTGTGGGTTTCCTCTAGTGGCCCCAGTATCCTAAATATTTTCACACACTGGTAGGCTTCCGTTGTGAGTGTGTGCATGTCTGCTTGCCCTGTGATGGACTGGCATCCGCCCAGGGTGTATCCCAGCATAGGCGCTCTGCCACCATGACCCTGAATTGAAAAAGTAGTTATTGACAGTGATGTGAAGGGATGATGTGCTATTACCAGTTACTCACCCACTTTGACAAATCACTCCCTAATGAAAGCTTCTTAAATATATTTTAGTAGGCATATTATATTATAATTGCTGATTAAATAAAAAAAAATGTAAGGTTAGGATTGTGTTTTATCACATGGAAATAATGTATTCAGTAATAGCAATTTGGGAGGTAAATTAGATCCTAATTTCATACACTTGTGCCTGCCTATACATACTGTATACAGTAAGTCATGCACCAAGGAATTCCTTTGCACATCTGTCTTTTTCAATTGGAGTAGTATTTTGGGGGTTAATCCTATATATTTTCCAACCTAGACTGTGAATATTTTAACAATGTGTTCAGTAATGACCAGGAGGACAATTGTATGTTATTAGTTTAAGCAGATTGTGTTTGTCTATTATTGTGACTTAGTTGAAGACCAGACCACATTTTTTATGAGTAATTAATGCAAAAATCCAGGCACAGTAATTCCAAAAGGTTCACAAACCTTTTCTTGCAACTGTACAATATTGTATTACATATCCAACAGGTAATACAAATGTAATTTTGAGTTGATTATTACTGTGTATTCAACTCTGACTGTTAGTCCCCGAGTTCAAAAATACCTTTAGTCTGTTACACTTACAAAATAATGAATATCTTAATGTAGCAAATAGTAGGTTTAGACACGTATCACAAGCATCTAAAGGGCAGAAGGAAACATATCCTCTGATAATCTCGGAAAGGCACCCGGCGGTTTAAAGATAAAAAAGTGGAAAAAAGATGAGTTGACCGTACCAATATGGCCGTTCTGTTTTTTTAATTTACTCCTAATGCACTAATATAATACTGATTTTGCACATTTTAAGCCACGCCTAGTTCTACTTTACTCTTTGGAAAAAGAAAATGAAAGCTTCCGTTTCATCTGTTCAAGTTCACCGCTGGAACTATGCGAAAGGGTGTGTAAATTACTGCCAGTCGATATTAAGGGCTAAATAGATTCGATTTACAGTATTTAGTTGTTTTCTGGGGTATTTGTCGAATGTTAAGTGCTACATACAGCATATCGCATTTTTTGCGTGGGTTGATTTGCATACGATCCAGTCGTGCTTAGCTACAGACATTTTAAGGTTTTAAATATTTTGTCGGAACTTTTTTTTTGCTTTCAGCTAAAATGCTTCTCTCAGACGTGGGGTCGCGAGTCCTTAGCAATTCGCAATTAAAAGGTTTAACTGCGGCCACTGTTTGGGATTAGCTGTGATACTGGTCAGTGCTGTGAGATGACCGCGTCTGGAATGCTGCTTTTTAATTATGAAACTGGCAAACTTACATGGATATTATACAGCTGGCCTTTAACATTTTTAAACATTTTTTGCCCTCCAGTGTCATAGTCTTCTTAGTACAGTCTTATCAGATAAGTGTTGTCAGGACATCTATTGCTTCATGGCAATTTACAGTAATAAAGAGTTTATCACAGAAGCTGTGAGGTCTTTCCACAAATTACATCTTCAACAAACCTTCCAAAAAATAACTTATAGAAACCCGTAGAAGCCGAGTAAAAAAAACGCGCTATGGTACCCCGCAATTACGACTTTTTCCTCTCACATTTGCAACTTCGAAATAACCCACATTTCATGATCTGTCCTTTTATTGTAACGGATTCGGGTTCTAGGGCCGCTCCCACCCTAGTTCGTGCCTCACTGCATCCCAGATCTTGCCAGCTGAGCTAAAGAAGACCAGGCCCCTGCGGCCAGCATCCCTGTTGTGGGCAGGGGAGGGCGGTTCTGTCACCACACTGCAACCAGATCTTACAACCTATATGTCGGCCGTTCCGTTACACTACTGTATATTCATAAATCGTACAGGATCTATAGGCCTGAAGACTTTAATTACACTCGTTTTTATGGAATCCCATTCCTGCTAGGGAGGCTTCCCGAGTGGAATATTGGACAGAAAATAGGAAGAAAATGAGAACAATTACGGATATATGTTAAATTCAGTTTAGGCCTTCTGCAGCTAAAACAAATAATGCTCTTAATCTAGATCCGCAATGAACTTTTAATTTGTATGTTTTTTTTAAAGAAAAAAAAAAAAAAAAAGCAAGAAAAAAAATTTAAAAAATTGAAAAGGGTTTTTTTTTACACCAACAGAGTCAAAGTGACATGTAATGGCCTTTTAAGCTTCCATACCAAGTGAAAAAAATTCAGTTGTGTGATGTCTGTTTTAATGGTTTGTAGTATTCCTTTGTTTTTCTAAATGCAGCTTTTCCAGATTTTTCACCCTCCTGATCCCTCACATTCACCATCAACAATGTGCAATTCTCTTCGCTCACTGCAGACACCTTCATATTGGCGCAGGAAAGACTGTGTTGCATCCATCTTCAGACATATACATTATCCTATACACCGTGAGCCTCCTGCAACAGAGGAAGACAACACTGATTGCATGGTAAAGTCACAGGCATGGTAGGCACCAAGGGGCACTGTTGTGTTGCAAACCGAGGATAACATATCCCCTCCATACCCAATCACCCTTGTGAAATTTTACCAGCTGGGCACTGATTTGTGAACTTATTCAATTGGGCTAGTTTTCAATCACTCAGCCTGTTAAAATACAACACTTAATATGATGCATGTAATATAGTATTAAATGTAACTGTTTACCACCACATAATGTACTACAGTGAACAACAAACCAGAGGGCACAAGTGTATGTGCATTTAAAACTGAACATGAGGCTCTTCACTCAAATTTATTTTTATTCTTCTTTACTAGAACTATATAGCCATCCTCGAGATTCTTTAAAGAAATGACTGGATAAGATACTTGGATTAGTTACTAACAAGCAAAAGGGCTGCTGCTGTTGTTTGCATGTTTTTGTTTCAATAAGTTGTAATATGCCAAATATAATGGGTGAATTTGGCAACAGTGAAGAAACGTTTTTTCTTCTAAGGTTCTACTAAAGGACTGCATAAAATTGACTCTTTCCAATACCTGAACACTTAATTTTCTATAAATTAGCTCAATATAAAACAGTATCAAGTTAGGGTTTTAAAAACTATGTTATGCAAGGAGTACTTTGTAAAATAAGTAAATAGAATTATGAATGTGGACATACTGCAAGTCTAAGTTTCCAAAAAACCCACATTAAAACTAAGTTAAGGTTCCATGTATAAAGTTTAACTATTAATTTTACAGTGGCTAAGCATAAAATTTACATTTTTAACTTGTATTGCATTCAGAATTTACAGTATTGTTTTATTCTGAAATCTACTCCAATATTCACCAGAGAGGGATTTGTGCAATTGTAACCACAATTCTATTTTCCACAGCCATTCACTGACATTCAGCTGCTGTCATGGAAGAAATCCATAGAGATGACATTGCCCGTAAGAAACATCCTCTCAGACTGAGGAAAAGATTACCACAGGATCACTTTTACCAGGAATTCTGCAACACCCTCAGAACATGTAGAACATTGCTCTGCTTCAGCCTGTGTCAGTCCACTAAAATACTCTGGGATATCTGGGGATATGCTTACAACAAACCTGGCCACAGCCATGCAGAAAGTATGGTATTGGAAGAGATCAAGACATTTTTGACACAAAACCAACCAGACAAAACTCTGAAGTACACATTGACCTTGTACATGTCTTTCAGTCCTTGCAATGAGTGCTGTTACAGACTGGCTACCTATGCAAAATTGGAGAGAAGAATCAAAATTAATGTTATGTTTTCCAAGCTCTACTTTCCTGAGCACAGAAAGATTCAGAAAGGCCTGCAGTACCTGGAGTGTGCAGGAGTGTCCTTAAAGGTGATGGAGAAACAGGACTTTGTCACATGTTTCTATTTGTTTGTTACCGAGCATGAAGCATTCCAGGAATGGCATTGTTTAGATGACATGACCAAGCAGTACTCCTCTACTCTGCAAGCCATTTTGAATCAGGTAGGACTTTCTCTGACTAACTGCCAATGGCAATCTACAGCATGTCTCATTTGTACAGATTTTCAAAACATACAGCCATAAGCTACCTATTGATACTGCAGACAAAAAAAAAAAAGGTTATCAACATTGACTTGTTAGGTTGATTATAGAATCATCTGAATCATGACCTAAAAGCTTGAATGAAAAAGATATTTCAAGATATTAGGAAAGGAAATGTGATGGTAAATGAGCTTCAGTTCCAGACTTTCTTCAGTTATGCACCATGAAAAATATATTGTTTTTAATCCTATGATTTTCGTAAGGATTCTAAGAATAGCAAATGCATCATGTACAATATAAGGGTCTCACAAAAGCTTACTTAATTTCAGTAATGTGACCAACTGATTCCCCTGGAATTCTCTATAGAACTACAGCCATGCATGTAATACCATATTAAAGTGTTTTTGACCTTTTATATGAGCTTTTCAAACAATTTTAATCTATAGACTCCGATGCTCACATATTCAGATACTCTTTTAACACAGCTTTTAATAAGTACTTTTCTAATTATACCGGGTTTTAAACATTTCTTTCAGTGGTTAATTTTTCTGTGACAGTGGCATACACAGGCTTTCTCCAAGTGCTCCAGGTTAGATTGACATCCTGAAATCATGCCATCATGTGTACCCAGCTATGGACAGGCATCCTGTCCTGGGTGTATACCCTAACTGTGACCCCTGTATTGGACTAGCTGGTCATTGAAATTAATGGATAATTAATTTTACTCAGCAAGACAATGTAAACTGATAGACATACATGAAATTCCCCAACCTGTAATTAATCTCCCTTTCATTAATGGTTTTCTTCTCCATTTCTCTTTTAGTGTGTAAATCGCTCTGACTGTGGAAAAGACAGCCCAGGTATGTGTTCCCCTAAAAGGAAGTAACTAGTTTTTAAAATGCACATATATAATTTGGATTCATTCCCCCCGCCAATTCAGATCAATCAATAAAATTGCTTTAGAAAAAATGCATTAGAAAGAAGCCATGAAAATGTCTATACACCTTCCAATATTTTCAGCTTCCTAAATTATTTACAATATAATAAAGTCATGAAAGGATCTCAATGGATGAGAATATTAGGCCAATACCATTTTTCAATGCAGTTTGTTCTCCATTATTTTATCAGAAATGCAACATAACAGTTACAAATGTGATATTTAACACTTCAACCCACTTGGTTGTTACAATAAATCTGGTGATTAGTGAATTGATATACAGTAAGGATGTCAACCAGCCAATTCCTGAACATAAGAGTATTTTCAACTACATGGTTGGCTTATTCCTAGGGTAGCATTTTCCTTACTCCTGCAGCACTGGCTCAGTTATAAAAGGTGCTTTCTTCAGGTGAAAAAGATGCAAGGAAAACACCAGAGTTGTTTGAGTTAACCTACCTTTTTCTGAGATGCCCCCCAAAAATGAAAGACTGACTGTTAGGTAAGGTGTTTCTGCTACAGCAGTGGATTAGCTGTTCTGAATTTGGCGAAATAGGTCAAATAACAGCTTATTTTGAGCAACTATAATAACACATGGAGACTCATTAAAGAAAATAAAAACAAAGAACCACTTTTTTTTTTAAATGTGGCAGTCATATGAATGCCTGGTGTTTCTTGCAGCATAGCATCAGTGTGCTTATTTCATAGTTCTACGGGTTCTTGAGAAGATTTACCATAACAGGTACAAGTTTAGGGCTCATCCTGATCTACTGTATAACCAGTTTGTAATAAGGAACAATTTTTATCAATACCGACCAGTACATACAGTACGTGTCTACATAAAAGATACACATGTGCACAGGTCCCCCTTTTATTGGGTAGCGTGGCCAGGGTTTTCCACATGAACCCTAACCTTATCTGTCCATAAGAAGTAAGCGTCTCAACCCAGATAGCAGTGGCAATAATCTATCAGTCGATTCCGGTTGGCCAGGTGCGCTCATTAACCGTCTTCTTATTTACCGGCGCCCCGACCCGGAAAACAACCGAGGCTGCTACCGTAACCTAATCCCGCTATGCTCACCGCTTCATAACCTTAAGGGCTCTGCGGAAAGGCACTTTGAAAAATGTAAAGGCAACCTTTGCCTCCGGAACCGCTTATATAGGAAGCTAAAGTCACCAGTTGCAGCCAATTCCTTGATTTCCTTGTGAGAATCTGAAGAACGTGGTTTTGCTGAATACAGTGACTCCGCCCCTTGATGAGTCACCCGTGCTTCCAATCGCCGCTTCGCTACGACAAACTACTGTAGTAGCAAGATATTGTCTCTCTGCCATGGATTTTTCAGGTTATTATTTTTGGCAAAAAGAAACGTTAACAATGTTGCAGTACATTTACCACAGGAAAGAAATGTGCAGTGTTTTGACAATGCCCATAAGCTTGACCTATGTATTTTTTTATTTATTTTTGCTGTGGCTTGGATAAACTAAAAAAAAAAGTGGTTGGTGAAAACAAATTATTATGTGAAGTTAAAAATCACCAAGAAAAGTAACTAGAAAAATACTGAAAAAATAAGTTATTTTATGTTACTTATTCCTAAATGAAGGCTAATCCTAAAAGATCCCTCTTTTTGTTGATGGAACACAGTTAAAACCTTATCATTTATAACAAATGCTTGCATTTCTTTCACTTGCTAGAAGGTAAAGACATTGGTTTGTGTTCTTAGAATGGTATAAAGTTCATACTTTCTATGTTAAAATCCAAAGCAATATTTGGAAAAATACTACTTTTGAGTTGTTTACATTGCATTTGAGGGGTGCTGTTATGTAAAATATGCTTTTATTTATTCACAGGTCATGGAGCAAAGGAAAACAGTCATTATCAACATCTACTTCCAAGCCAATACAACATTCCTGCAGAATCTTTGACTCCTGAACACCACACAAAACATATATACTGTGAGGCTGAAACTCCATGGAAATGCAGTCTGAATGATCTTTCTATAAGTAATATGAAATCAGTTAAAAGGAAACTTTTTGATGAAGATTGAACTGTATGGAAATGATGTATTATGTAATGGCGTAATATGCGTAAAATATTAATTAAAGCATCAGGACATCTCATTTGGGCAGCATGAGGGTACAGTGGTTAGCATTGCTGCCTGACAATACTGGGGCTCTGGGTGAAATCCCAATGGACTTTGTACAGTACATACGTTTTCCCTGTGTTTATGTGGAGTTTTTTTCCTTCCAGGTGCTTCAGTTCTCCTCCCCACAATCCATTCATTAATTATGTGGAAATTAACCCTGGTGTTAACAAATGCATGTTTGTGTCTGGGTGTACCCTGTGATGTCTCATCCAGGGTGTGGAAACTCGAGCCCCCAGAGGAAACCCACAAGGACACAGGGAAAACACACAAAACCTAAATGGTAACCACTGCACCATCGTGGCACCCGCTGCAGTATCATGAATGATAATTCTCTGTATGTGTGACACAGTGGCTAGAAAAGGGTTGCTTCTGACTTCCGGAAGGTTTGGGTCATGTAAACACATGCCAAACCGAACTCTTACCATACCCGGGGAGTGGGTGTAGTTAGGGCTGGGCGATATGGCCAAAACCATTATCACGATCAAAATTTTCATATCAGTCGATATCGATAATTATCACGATAAATGTCAAATCATTATTTCTTTCAAGTTTAAAGACAGATTTTTTCTCCTGAGTGAAAGTTGAAGAAACCAGACAGTTAATTGGTAAATTAAACAACTTTTTATTTTAAGAACACAACAAACACTTGCCAAACAGCAGAAACATTAAACAAATCTGTCAGCTGCCCGGTCTGCAACATGCACGCGCACTGACGCAGTATTTTGTGCGTATGCGCGTATCATGCACAAAGCATAAACATATACAGTATATCAAACATTTATCGAACTTTTGTTAAAATTATATCGAGGAAAATTATATAGTGATAATTATCATAATCGAATTATCGCCCAGCTCTAGGTGTAGTACAGAGCGATCCCTGTGGCCCCTCTCCCAGGCAGTGCTGAAAAGAAACTCCAGTGTGGGGTTGCGATGCCTGGGACATGTTGGAAAGTGAGTGACTTGAAGGTTTGCTGGCTTTAGGAGGGTAGTCTGCGCACCCTTCCGAATTCTCTGATGCGTGACAACACAGAGTTCATAGACGTAACCCGAGACATCTAATTAAATCAGAATTTGCTGATTGAAGCTTTGGTATCAACTTTCACAATATGGCTGAATAGCTTGTTCCACGCTCCAACAATGTTTTGTGTAAAGAAGTGAATCTTACTCTCAATTGTAAAAGCAATTCCCTTCTGGGGAAGTTTACATTTGTATTCTCTGATTTGTGTTTCATTAGGGTTAAAGGGGAACTGCAATGTTATTTTTATATTCCAGGGTTAGAAAGAATCAGCTTTGATGAGTACATTTCAAACCACAATAAAAGTAAAATGTACACAGCAACTTGTAAAACCTTCAATTTACATCACAAAATAGACTAAAATTTCCAGGTGTGAGTAGTGCCATGTTTTGCAATTCAGACCGAGGCAACAAAACTTCCTCTGACGTGAAGTGGTCTTATTACATTGTAAATAAGCAGGCTTCTGAATACATGTCTTTCAATCCAATAGAAATATGAATTTCAATTTTACTACTTGTTAACTCTGCATGCAGATCACATTGGAATATTACTGTGGTGAAATGTCTGCTGCAAAAGCATTACTTTTTCATTTGTACATCAACATACATTAATCATAACTGTGACTAGTGAGCAGGAAGGGCAACATCATGTCACAATTTGTGGGAACTCTCGCTCTCGGCTGTGAGGAGACCAGGGTTTTTTGACAACATAGCCCACTTACAGTACTTTCACAAAGTTCAAATCTTTGACTTAATTTGAAATTTGTAAATTTTTTATATACCGTCGATAATCTTATTTTGTTACTGAGATTTAATAACTGGTCTGAGAAATTTGGACTGCAGTTCCCCTTTAACTTTGTCAGTGCCTGATTTTGGATACTTGAATCGGGCTCCTTCACAGTCTTCCCTCTCTGCAAAAGAACTATTCTGTTTTTGTAGCTCATTAGATCAGGAAATACCTTTTAGTCTGGAAATGTATGCTGTTGGTCTTTCTCAAGCTGAGTCTAGTAAAAGAATATCTTTCGTTACATCATAATGAGCAAAATGGAATACATTATTCTAAATGAGAATTTAGAATAACACTTGTGAGGTATTCACAAGTGCATTTTACACTTTTAACATAAGATGCTCTTTTAACAGTACATCCTAACATTCAATGTACTTTTCTTGCTACGTTTCCACATTGCTTTCACAGGTATGTCAGAATAAAAACCTGTCTGGATGTTTCCTTCTTCAACATTTATACTTTTTGTTTTTGCCAATTGCATATAACACTCTGCAATTAATTCTACATGTCCCCTGTCATGTGTTTGCCCAGTTCAGTGATGTATAGCTAAAGCTTTTTGAATTTCTGTTGTACCTTCAGCAGGGTTTATTAATCATCCTATTTTGGTAATGTCCATGATCTTGATTCGTTTATAATAAATAAAAGACTCCAAATGTAGGGTGTTAGATTACAGTTCTTGTAGGGCTTGGCGTCTTCTGGCTTTTTTTCCACCTGAGCTCAGTTACATACATGCTGGAATAATGTAATTTATAACTGTAACTACTGTAGCACTACTGTACTACGGTAACTGCATAATTGTAATTCATTTGATCTGGCTGTGAGATGTTTTATTGGAAACATTTCTGTTAATTAAGTGAATATTTGAGTGATCTACTGTGAAAGCTCTTAAAACATCTTGCTGTGTGTATGTCTTACTAAGAACACAATTACACAAATTGTTTAATTGATGGGTGGCACAGTGGTACAGAGGTAAGCATTCCTGCCTCGCTGTGCTGGGACTCTGAATCAAATTCCAGACCTGAGGTGCAATCTGTATGGAGTTTGTTTGACCTCCCCTTGTTTGTGTGTGTCTCTGTGTCTGTCTGTCCTGCAATGGACTTGCGTCCCATTCACTGTGTGCTCTGCCTTACAGGGATAGACTCCAGTTCCCCTCAACGCTGAATTGGAGGAATCGATTAGAAAATGGATGGATGTTTAATTGATTAGCCAGATTGGACCATATTACAGAAGTCGCTTTGCCCTCCAGAAATTAACTATGACACTTCCACCCTAGATCTTTGATATAAATCAGGAAGAGACGTGGTTATAATGTAGATTCTCATGGTATTACTCCAGGTACATCACTCCAGTTTGGGCATTCACTCAAACATCTGTGTTTAGATTTCTATCCATTAACCAGTTGTTAACCCAAATATATTAATTTCCAATTCAAATTTGGAGAATAAATCTTTTCATATATTCCAAAAGAGTGGTATTATTAGCAACCGATTCTGAAAGTGTTTATGACTAGCTTGTCAAACTTTCATAAAAATGGAAACAGCATTTTTTTTTTAAATCAGGACAGTAGGATTTGGGCTTGATATTGATCAAATTTTAATGTAATTGTTTATGTAATCATGCTGACTAGCTTCTGAATTGAACTCCTTTTTAGCCTATGTTTTTGAAAATGTGCCATGCTGTCTTAGAATAGGTTAGTATTATCCAGCTGCTACTGTTGATGAATGAGGATGTATGTGCTCACTAAAATATTGCACCATTATTGTTATTATATTTTTATACAGTTTGATTCAAACCTATGTTCCGTGTTCCAATGTGGAAAAATGTAATATTGATTTAAAAATTTAGCTTGTAAGTAGATTAGTGCATTTTCAAATAATAAATACACGTGGGGTGCTTTTTTTCACAAAATACATTTTAATACGTTCAACTCTAGCAATTAACTGCAGGAGTATCGACCCCCAGGTTTAAACTAAGTCCTGCCATTCCACTCGAATTTCCTAAAGTGTGTTAATCTCCCGCGCTTTCAGTTACAATATTTTGACATGACATCACCGTCTCTGACACCATTTTTACGCGGGGGAATGCAACGTGTAATCCGCCAATCGCGTCAGGCGAACTTCTCGCCCAATAGGCGATTCCGTTTACTTCAGCTAAAAGCCCACCAATCCGGTCGCTCTGCCCCGTCGACTTGACCAATCTAAAGGCCGCCGCCACCGCCCCTGGTCCAATCAGCGTGTCTCAGGCGTGTGTCCGGTGTGAGAGGTCGCTGCGCCCGCCGGCTTTGCTTCCCTCTTCCTCCAGCGTTCGCTCTCTCTTTTTGGATCTCCACTGCAATGGCGGAGCAGCAGCAGTTCTATCTCTTGTTGGGCAACCTGATGAGCCCTGACAACAATGTCAGGAAGCAGTCTGAGGTACGGGATCGTTTGTAAAGCACTTTCTAGACGCGCCAAATGCGTGAATAGGAGAACGGTATGAAATGTTACGTGTTATAAGAGCCGAGGTTTCGCGCTGGCCCAGCCCACGTGTTGGGGGAACGAAAACTGCAGCGGGGCTCTGCAACATCACAGTGCCGAGAAATGTCTCTGATGGTGAGACAGAGCATGCGAGCTCCCGGTGTCGGTGGTGCCTCGTATTAATGCGGAGTCTCCCAGTTAATGATCTGTGGTCCCCTGCTGCCTTTTAACGATTAGGAGAAAGGGGCGTTTTGATTTGAAGGGTCCTGTAGTCAGGTAAACTCGCGGTAATGAAAATAAAAAAAAAAACATCACTCTTGGAGGAGCAGCGGAGTAAAAGTTTACCCGACCGTCTCAGTGCATTAACTGTTTGGAGGGAGAATGTAAGTTTTAGATGTGCGCCCACAGTTTAGGTGAAAAAACGGTATTGAGCACTTTCCTGCCTACATCAGAGGGATTTTCTGTGTTTTGTACTGATGTGCTGTTCCATGAAGGCACCTGCGTGTACGTGAATTTGAGTGTCATATTTTTTACAGGTGGGCGTTTCTTCTGCATTAGCACTCGAAAACGGCAAAACGCATTGACCCCTAAAGACAAGTGTCTGTTACCTGTACGATGTTCAGTATTCGTGCCTGCAACAAGTGATCAGTTACTATCGCATTACTAGGAACTTTCAAAATACAGCTAACCGTGGACTTGATAACGGAACATCTAACTTGAAGACGGAACTTCATTTCAGTGATGCTTAACTGTCTGAATCCGGAGGCATTGCAACTTTCAATGAAGAACATAGCGAATCTTTTGTGTTTTAAAATGAAATAGGTAGTTCCATATTTAGATGAAACTTAAGATCGTTCCCAAAACTAAAACAGGTATTACAATATATCTGCGAGAAACTGTGAACTTTCACTTGAACGAAATGAAGGCTGGGGCCGAGTTTCTGATAAACCGGTAGACGTGCCTCCCTGTTGGGATTATTCATTTAATTCCTTTGTTCCCGGTGTGCTTAAAGTATAACTCTTCCAAAGCCTGGTGGGGAATCCGTACTGAATTAATGGAGATTCCCGGGTCTGCTCTAGCAGGGTCCTGATTGGACGCCGGGATTGAGTCTTTTTATCGTCCTCAGTTGTCAGCACATTTCTTTATTAAAGACAATGAGTGGCGAAATCCTTTATCCAGACACCCCGTCGGGAACTTTTGCTCCGTGTAGACTGAATTAGAGTATTGTTTCCTTTAGGGATGGGGGAAACGGCACGTTTTAGCAAATGCGTTTCCCTTACGTTGGGGGCAGTATATAAAATGGTGAATTCCAAATATACCCCCCCCCCCCATCATTACATTGAAGAAATGGATGCATTTCTAATATGATGCTGGCCTAGAGTAGAAGTCTGCAATATAAACATGTAGCCTGATAGTATTTTTTAATACCATTTTGAATGGTATTTTTGGGCTACCACAAGGTGAGTATCTTTGAAGGACCTGCCATGAGTTCATATGGGAAGATGGGTTGAAAAGTGTTTAACCTACAGTGCAGAAGGTGTTATGACTGTAACCCTGTTTAAGAAAATGAGACCTGCCACTTGGACCTCTTCTTAAGACTGTCCATATAACACTGTTGGCCTCCGTGTTCAGTTTTGAAGGGGGTTGAGAAGAACACAAGCAGGTGAATTTGACTTGAGGGTTACACTTTGAAGGAGAGCTGGGGTTCTGAATACTGTTTGAAACCAAGACTGCTTGCTGTTCTGGTTCTCTGCTGTGGATTTGGGAAATGTATTCACGCTATGGTAAGCAATGTGAAGAAAAGTAATGGGGGGGTTGCAGACCTCTGTTCAAATTGGCTCTTGATTTTCTTTTCAAGTTGAAGATAAAAAACCTTGGTGTCTGGATAATGCAGTGGAGCCTTTAGGAAAACATTTTGTAATGGACAGACCTCTCTGTTTCTTTAACTCCCTAAGTATAAGATGAAGATCAGTGAAGCCTCCATTCAGTTTATAATCTTTTGTGCATGATGGTAAGTTTTTAGCTGCGTAATTAATTAGTCTTACTAAATGGGCGTTTTCTCCTAACATTCCTTCCGTTACATCCCTGGTATTCCTATTCCATCTATAAAAAGTGGGGAAAAAAAAAATTGAAAGCAGAGTTGATAAGATAGTTCCGTTTTGAATTAACCTTAAGTGCATCACAAGTTTTTCAGGCAATTTGTATAAAACAGTCTTAATTTATATTTCACTTTTAACCTTTATGCAAAGTCACTTTCTTTTCTGTTACTCCTTTTTTTTCAGTTGAAATGGGGGAGGGGTGTGTGAATGCTGCTCTTCTATTTTATAAAACAAAATCCTGAAGCAGTGTGCTCCTGGCTTGATGGCATTTTTGGATTTTTGTTTTCATTTTTTTTGTTCCAGTGAGGCCTAACTGAGTCACTGCCATATGCGTGAGATTGTGAGAGGGAGGAGGGGTGGTGGTGGTGGCTGTGATCCTGTGAATAAGTAAAAACATGACATGCATGTTTTGATCACTACAGATCGTATTTTTGGCAGTAGCCAAAAAAAGTCCAGCAACCAGGCAAAGCTGGCCTGCCGGAGAACATCTGAGAACTGTTATGCTGAAGGACCCTGGTGGTTTGGATGTAGGGAAAATGTGGAGCATTGAAATAATGATAAAGTAAAATGAAAGGGTTTTCTTTTTCTGATATAACCTTTTAAGGTTGAAATATGTAAGGAAGCTGAGTCATGCCGAGTAACGGAGATGCTTAATCCCAGTCACTTTCCTTTGGGATTCTTTGTGGGATTGACTGAGCCACACCCACTCAGATGTGGCCAATGGCAGGTATCCTAAGGGAAGAGTATGTTCAGAGAGGACATCTCTTCTGGATTCAGGGGGTCACTTCATTCCCCTGCTCTTTACAGAGAGTTTCAGAAGCTGATTTTCCTGATCTCCCATTTCTTCTCTGGGATAACAGAATAATGCACCCCTTTCCGTGAGCTTCAGTAAGCCTGATTGACAGGAGTGCAATTTGGGGAAGGGTGTGGCTGAAAAGTTTGTCATCGGCCTTAAGCTGCTTCATGCGTTTTCCATCAGCTGCAGCGTAGCGGTTTTGTAATAACTTCTCCTTGTTTAGGAAACCTATGAAAACATCTCTGGCCCGACGAAGATTACATTCCTGCTTCAAGCAATCAGGGATGCCTCTGCTGCTGAGGAGGTATGTGGTTTATTTTCATATTGTTTTAATGTTTTCACTTAAAAAGACCAGCAGAGGAACTGCTTGTCTTCTGTGCTCTTTGGGTGACATGCAAAAGAAGAACTTCTGCTGTTATTTGTAGCCCCTTTAAAAGTTAGTGATATTTCTAATATTCTTTTAATAAATTCCAAGAGTCAGACCTCTCAGGTCAAACATGAAAAACATGCTGCCCATTTATTTAATCTGCTTGACACCTCTTTTGGCAGTATTTCTTTTCTGAACTCTCTGGGGGTGGGACTGGGGTCCGGGTTTTAATCCTGGATGCTGTCTGTGTGGAGTTTTTACGTTCTTTGCATGTTAACATGAATTTCCACCAATTGCTCTGGTCTCCTCCCACAGTTCAAAGACTGTGTTTGTCTGTATGACTGGTGTCATGTCCAGTGTGTATCCTGCCTTGTCCTGGCAAGCAACAGGCGCAGGCTCCAGCCCCCCCCATGACCCTGTATTGGATAAAGCAGTTAGAAAATCAATAGATGCAAAGCTGATCCTTTTAAGATGGAGCTGGTACTAGAACTAATTGCTCATTGTTTTTATTCAATGAGATCTGAATATGTAAGTTTTTGGATGCGTAATTTGTTGTGACTGGCAAGTCCATAAATAGAAACTCTAGTTCACTAGCTTTGCCGTTTCTGCATAATCTGCAGATCTTCAGCGCATGTCCAATGGCCTTCATGGCGCAGGCCTCTGGCATTGTATCTGGAGGGGGTGTTCTTAGTCTGATTGTGAACATTGCAGAATTACTTCAGGTAATTCTTTTGTCTCCTCAGATGCAATTCATCCTCCTTGGGGCTTTACTGGGGCTGTGACCTCCCCCCATTCACATGAGAAGGAAGTTCAGTGCTTTAGAATTTCTTCTGTAGTGTCAGGCTTATTTAGGCATGGCTTTTAAGCATAGCAATCTCTGCCCCTCTCTCAGGGCACAAAGCTCTGTTGTGTTTTTAGTATCAGTAAGCAAAATAAAAGCACCCTTTTGGTTTTGTCTTATACCAACTTCAAATTAAATGCAAAAAGCCTTCACATAGTAAATTCTCTCTCATGGTCAAAGATGGTTTTTTCCATTTAATGATCAGAAGCGATGCAATCTATTCAGCACTTAATTTTCTTGAGTGATGGCATATATATTCAATAATGGTCAAATAAACGCAGAGGGTATATATCCACAATAAGAAGAAATGGGGAGGTTTTGGTAATTTATTAGTGTATTTGTTAATTAAGGAGGACTTTTGCAGTTAAACATATCGTGGTTCTTATTTGTATGTACTGTATCATGCTTCTGATTTTGAAGTGTGACTGAGGCTGTTTGCAAATGAAGTAAGTGGTAACAGTTGTTTCACTCGTCTGCTGTCCTTGTACTTCAGCCAGCTGTGAAGGATGATTTAGGGCGGTGGTCTCCACCCCTGGTTCTGGAGAGCACTAAGCCACCAAAGCCTTCGAGGCAATTCTGAAGGAAACATTTCTAAGGATTCAGAGCACTTACAGATTAATAACTGAACAATTCACTTGCTTACTTAAAATACTAGTCTGTAAGGATTGAAGGGCTTTCAACTTTTTATTCAAAAGTCTCAAAGTTAACACATCACCCACACAAGAGAGCTCAGTTAAATTGCTTCAAACCTTTTAAAGATGATTTAACTGTGACCTGTTTAACCCACTGGTCAGGAGCATTTTCAGGCAATTTAGAGATCCAGATTTAGTACAGTAATTTTCAAGGCTATTACTGCAGACCTACAGATGTCTCTAGACATCTCTAACTTATCAGTTGTTAAAGGTTTGGAAAAATTAGATGAATAGACTGAAAATGTCTGTTTCCGGATTTCCTGGACATATTTGACGAACTGATTTATTTTATTCCCTGTTTTTCATTCCAATAGAAGCAGTAACTCAAAATCCAAAGAACTGGATGTAATTTATTTTTATAAGTGCACTTTCCAAAAGCTGTGTAAAATTTCTGTTCCATGAATTATTTTTTTAAAGTATATTGTTTATATTAGTAGCTGTTCTACGATACAAAAGTAGTTTTTGAGTCATTAAGTAGTGCATGTACATTTCTGGAAATTACTTTATACCTTGTCCTTTTTCAATTCCAGTCTTGCACTTGACATCTTTACGTGTTCAGTTTGTGTTGAGTGCCCTGCTTTCAGCTGCATTCTCACCAAGATATTTTTGGTCTGCAGGAACAACAGCAGCAGATGAGTGGTTGGTGCTTATTAGCCAAACTGAACATCTTGGAAAAACCTTTTTTTCAGATTTGTTTTTAAATTTTAAAACTGTTTTCCAGTTGAAACGCAGAGCTAGGTCATAATTCTAGAAATTTGAATTACCTCACTGAGACAGCCACCCTGCAGGATATGAAGCTCCTCAGGTTGTAATCCATATGAACCCTTTCGACTCGCATACTGTTGGTTTTTGGGATTTTGGAACCTTTCTCATTGTACCTTTTAATCCTCTGCTCTGATCAGGTCAGGCAAATGGCGGCAGTCCTGCTTCGGCGACTGCTGTCCTCTGCCTTCGATGAGGTCTACCCCACCCTATTGGCGGACATGCAGACCGCCATCAAGACGGAGCTCTTAATGGGCATCCAGATGGAAGGCTCACCAAACATTCGCAAAAAGGTCTGCGATATTGCCGCTGAGCTGGCCCGCAACCTGATCGGTAGGTGAAAACATCCCTTCTCATTTCCCCATGGGACCAGCCCTGTGGTTTGGCTGGAATGCAGCCTGGCTGCTCTGTCATTTTCTCTGGTTCATCAGACCAAGTTGTATAGATTGTGCCCCTGCAAGCTGTGAAAAATCTGAAGTAGGACTTCAGAACAGTTACCAAGTTCATTAAACATGCTCTTGTTTTGTGCTTACAGATGATGATGGAAACAATCAATGGCCTGAGGTTTTGAAGTTCCTCTTTGATTCTGTTAATTCTCAGAATGTGGGGTTGCGTGAGTCAGCACTGCATATCTTCTGGTGAGAGGTTTTAGGTTTTATAAGTTCTGTGACTTCTTAAATAGATGTTTGAGTCTCGAGGGATTCTTAGCTGGCACTGTGGAAAAGTACAGGAGAGAAGCTGTAGAGACAGTGCTCTCTCCATTATTCTTTAGAATTTTTTTTACAGCATTCGCTTTCAGACTTCACTTGATGGCATGTCTGAATAATCCTACGTCGTAAACTTGCATTTATCCTGATAGGTTCGTAACCCACACAGTACCTCTTTTTGAGTGACAGTATTCAGAATGCTTTATACTTCATGGGCCATAGGTGATCACCCTTATTTGGATATATTGAATCATGTAATGCTGGATTTTAAAATTTAGTAAGGCTTCCACAAACTCCTGCATTGTCAAATTCTGGTGCAAATGGGACCGGAGAATGACTGTATATCCCATGGAGGCACTGCATCAACTCAGTGTGACTGTACCATGGACCATACTTATCCAGTATGGTCCAATTAGCTTTTGTACCAGAAAGCTTGTAGTGCACGGTAATCCCTAAGTGTTTGCATAAGTGAGCTGTCCTCATACATGTGAAGTTGAGTGCCTTGTGAAAGTATTCAGTCCCCTGCAAAGACTGCACATTTTGCCTTTTGAGCTTCCAGTCAGGAGCTTTTCCAGTAGGACTTCCTGTTTCACAGGAAGGTTTTTTGGCGAGATGGGACAGCAATTGAGCTTTTTGGTGTAAATGTTATGTCCGTCACATCCCCAACACAGTGCATCCAGTCAGCACCATCCCAGCTGTGAAGCATGGTGGCTACAGCATCATGTTACAGGGTCTCCTCATCAATAGGCACTGTGAAGATTTTCAGGGATGAGGGGAAAATGGATGGTGCAGGAAACGGAAAGCCACCTTGAGTCATGCCGAAAATTACAGTGGGACATAGACCTGAAGCACTGGGTCGAGGCATCACTGGGGTGATTTGACAAGACAAGAGTGAATGTGGCTTAGTCGCAATCCTGACTTGAATACAGTAGGAAACTAAAGGCTAGACTTGGTGATTCCCAGTGAACAGGAGCAATAGGCCAAGAGGAACAGGCCACATGTACACCATCCAACTGAGCAAAGCTGTGGAGACCTATTCAGAAAGACTAAACCCAGTATTTGCGGCCAATGCTGCTTTCCGCAGGTACTGGCGGAGGAGAGTGAATATTAAAGCCATCAGTAAATTTAACGTTTTGTCGCCTTTGTGGGTTATTGTCTTTCATCCTCCTTCGGTGTTCGGGTCTGAAAAAGTATGTATCCGTTATTTGTAATTCATCAAAATGTGACTTCGGTAGGGGCTGAAAACTACCAAGCCAGTGTACATTGTTGGTGTCTTTTGCGTCTTTGAATAGGGTATGATAGGAGTGTGCTGTCCTTTCAGGAATTTCCCTGGGATATTTGGAAATCAGCAGCAGCACTACCTGGAGGTGATCAAGCGCATGCTGGTCCAGTGCATGCAGGATCAGGAGCACCCATCGGTGAGGCTCCTCACGGCCTTCAACCTAAACCAGGGCTGAACATTCTTGTTCTGGACAGCAACAGTCCGGCAGGTTTTATAGGTCACCCTTAACCTGTCAGTTTCTAAAAAGAAAATTCAGCACATTTTTATCACCTAAACTGATTAGTTGGCTTTTGACATGAAAATCCTGTAGGTCTCAAGGACCACTTTGCCATTCCTGACCATTGGCCCGCCAGCATCTAAACTGTTCTGTTCGGCAGTGTAGGACATTGTCCACTGTAGACATTTTCATTGTATTTGTCCTTCCGCATCATCTGTGTAGCATGTCGTGGGATTTCACACTTAAACACGGGTACACGTCCCTCATACCTGCCTTCTGGTGTTCCTCTGACCTGGGAAGAGTCTAACTGACGGCGCAGACTCCCCAGTTTTTCAGAAGTGGTGTGTAGCATTTCAACATGCATGTTTAATGAGGGGGGTTACAAGTTCACTTTGTCCTGTCATTTAGTTTGTGACGTCATGTTTTATTTCTGGTCAGATCCGGACTCTGTCCGCCCGGGCAGCAGCATCCTTTGTGCTGTCTAATGAGAGCAACACCGCAATCCTGAAGCACTTTGCTGACCTACTTCCAGGGATCTTGCAGGTGAGTGCAGTGCAGTGCAGTCAAGTTTACATCTGTAGGCATTCCTTTGAGCACCTTAGTGGAACACATTGGCTTTTCAGAATGAGCTTATTCTAGTATCTTTTGAAATCTGTGACTTGATTTCCTTGCTT